TGCTGGGAACAGAACCTGGGAACTCTGAAAGAACAGCAAGGGCTCTAAACAGCTGAGCCAGATACTATCCAGCCCCATGATCATCAACTCTTTCGTCAAGCTTTTACATTCTGAAATATTTTTTTCCCTAAAGAGCTAGGGAACAAACCCAAAGCTTCCTGCATGCTGGGCAAACACTCTACCAACTGAGCTATACAATAACAACACCAAAATTATAAATACACAAACAAAAAGGGGCTGAGGATGTAGCTCCGTTGATAGAGCGCCTGCTCAGCATATACAAAGCCCTGGGTTCAATTCCCAGCACAGTATAAACCAGTCACAGCAGGTTGTCCTCATAGGGAAACATTGTTTATGATTGCTTACAAATTCACACACACACACACACACACACACACACACACACACACACACACACACTTTAAAAAGTTAAACAGGCTAGAGAGATGACTCAGTGATTAAGAGCTCTTCCAGAGGATTCAGGTCAATCCCCAGCACCCACATGTCAGCTCACAACAGTCTGTAACTCCAGTCGCAGGGGATCCAACACCCTTTTCTGACTTCTCTGGGCATTAAACATGTAATGTAGTGCACAGGCATACATTTAAAAAAGAAAGAAAGAAAAACAAACTCATAAACATAAACTTTTAAAACTAAAATAACAAATGTAAAAAAAAAAAACTTTGAGGTGTCACACTTTTAATACTGGAACTTGGGAAGCAGAGGCAGGCTGAGCTCTGATTTCAAGGCCTGCCTGGTCTACATAATTGTCTCAAAAATAAATAAACCAACAACAAGACATTAAGAAAATAATACAACATGAATATGGAGAAAACATAACCTTCAAATCATAGCAGACCCTATTTTGAACATAATTTAAAAATTTACTTTTCATATGCAAATTTTTTCACATATACATTAATGTCTCCTGCCAGATAATTTATGTCCAGATGGCTAAAGATACTCAAGCTAAAAATGTTAGTTCTATAAAACAAATTTAAATTCTGCCAGATTTCTAAAATTTGGAATCATGAAGCACACAACTACAAATCTCAGCAACATTTATAAATAAATGTTCCAGGCTATCCTCTTTAAGACAGCTCCTTCAGGCAGACTTTACATCAGCTCCCAAAAGGTAGTGTCAACTTACCAAATCCCAAAGTCCAATTTGCCCAGACTTGGCCCCGGCTGCTACCAAGGTCCTCACTTCTGATGGATGAAGGGCCACAGAGGAGATCGCACCTCTGGTCACTTTACGAACAGTAGCTTCACTGATGACCATACCACTTAAATTGGTTTTGTAGCTACAAAAGTTGGTAAGTTAAAGATAAAAACAATCTCAATAGTCCAAACACGTGAAATATAACTCCAAAAAGAAAGAGCACAACTAGTAAATTCTGGCAATACCCAACTTCCTATGACAAAAGACACCAAATAAATCAAGGTTATCATTTTCCAACTATAAAATTACTCCTGATAATTTTAATGATGATATCAAAACTTAGGAGGCTAGAATTAAAGCATGACATGACGGGGCTGGGGACGTGCCTTAGCAGGGGCAGCCACAGAGGAGTATGCTCTCTGTGCACACAAACTGCTGGCACACATACTTCATATGAGTTCATAGATTTTAACAAGAAAAGATTTTAAAGAAACAATTCAATAGTGCATAATAAAAACCATAAGGATGTCCCTACTGTTTGACTCATTAGTCCCATGTCAGGAAACCTAAGAAAAGAGTCTGCTTTTATGTATGCACATGCACTTACACACACACACACACGCACGCACGCACGCACGCACGCACGCATGCATGCACGCACGCACGCACGCACGCACACACAAACAGAAACTCCAAACACCAAATGAATAAAAGTGTGCTCTAATAAATGAGCAAATACCCAAGAAAAAAGGCACAATGTGAAACTATATATATATATAT